TATGCCCTCAACCTATACCTTTTATTTTCTTACACTATGATAGTGAAGACGACAATGTCTACAACATATAACAAGATATATAATGGTAAATCTAGACACATTAGCTGAAGACAAATATACTAGATAATTAATAATGGATGGTATTGTAACAATTATCTTCGTAAGGTCTAACAATAATTTGGTATATCCTCTAACAAAAGTAATGTCAAGAGAGTTGGTGAAAGTTACATAAACTCAAATGAGATTGAAACTCTTTTTCTGAATAGTCACTAGTAACCGTAACTCAACCTTGTTCTAGAAGAAAAATAGTTATAATAGGTAAGAACAAGTTATAGTACTAAAGCTTATTTTTAAGTCTCAAATGGAATTTAGTGCTAATTGTTACGATATGGTGAGGATGAGTACTTACTCCTTATGGAATCCAAATTTAATCAATGTTTGTAGTAATAGGGACAATAATAGTGAAAGGATTATATCAATATGAATACAGAAGCGGTACCACTTCTAGCTAGAGTTTGGGGTTACTCTTGCAAATATTCATGAAACCAGGATTAGCACATGACCATAATAATGCTAAAACGTGGTGTAAATTTTTCATAGAAACTGAATATGATCATGTGTGATATCTCTAGTTTTAATATTTAAAAATTTTGGTTTTGGCTAAGACCTCTAATAACTGCATTAGAACTTTGAGATGTTTACACTAATCAATGGTTGGTTTAAATCGAAAGATACCTTTATGTGTGTATGTTTGTATTATTAGAAACTAATTTAATCTAGTTGAGGAATGTTGGACACCCACCATAAAACAAGCGGTAATATTAGGAAGAAGAAGTGGGCTTTCCTATGTTTAAAATGAATCTCGCATGGAAATTTTATGAAACTTTTTAAGGCTTTGTAAAGCATTGGATTTTTAAGGGACTTGAATTTAGTTAAGAGGCAACAGTGGGCCAAGTCCAAATGTGAAGCACCGGAATCGCAACCGGACACGCGTGCGCGGGTTGGGCAATAGTTTGTAGGGCGGCAGTTTCAGGCGCACTTGGCAGTTGCATGCGGTCAAATGACACACGTGATCAAAATCGTGTGGTGGATTATTTAATTTTTTATTTTGGTCCTGTACACACCGAATCACATAATTTAAGAGTACTCATGGCTGTTAATATTTTAACAGTAAGTTAATTAATTGATTTTTGAAAATCAGATCTATTTAAATTTCAAGTTTTGTCACTTTCCAATGGTGACTATTCTTCAAAACTTTCCAATGGTGTCTATTCTAATCGTGAAAGTTCATATCTATATAAACAATAGATTAATGAATTCAATTGCTTAGTTTCTAAATAGTTTCAAGATAGAACATCTCTTTCATAATTGCTATTGCAGAAATTTGTAATGCTTTGTTGTTGTTTCTTGTAAGTGATTTATTAGGAACCCTCTAACAAACTCTTTGAATAGGGACAAATATCTCTTTCAAAAAATTTATTTTACGTGCCTAAAAACCTAGATTTTGTTCTATTTATAAATCTTCTCAAACACAATTTACCAAAATCCCATAATGTGGATTGTTCAATACTTGTCTTTCCTCAACTATCAAATATTTGGTTTCATGTGAAAGATTGTCCCAGCATGAAGAAGAAAGTTTTCTCTAATGTTCACTTACGTTCTCAACAAAGAGCAATAACTTTAGCTTTGGTGTGGTACACAAAACATCGATCTTTATGTTGGTGAAAATTTGTGATGACAAATTTCATCCATTTTACACTTCCTCTTAGTTTAAAACATATAAATCCGTGTGGTCATTACAATCATAGTGTGACAGAAGGTGGCTATTAAGAAAATCCGTAAGTTTACTCACGCATGGTGTTATGAAGGACCGGCAAAAGCCATTGAGTTTGACAGATATGGGTATGGAACACTTTTCGGCTTGAAAATCACTACGTTCAAATGACGAAAAGGATTCATCAATCTGGAGGTTTCGACGGAGACCATTTCCCAGAATGACAATGAAAATTGCAATTCTTTCTCACTACTCTGGAAATTACTTATGCTCTAAACTTCCAAATCCTAGAGAATAAGAAGGTATGGTAGAGTTGCAATTGGACAAAAAGAGAAGAATACAACTATCTACGAAAAAGGACAAAATTCTTACAGCCATGTCCAACTCTCTGTTGTGTGTTCGGCACTTTTATCATTAGCTTTTTCTAATTGAAATTTGCTATATAACACAAAGGACAGTAGATTGTTCTGGCTACAAGCAAAAAGTTCCTTCAGGAAGTAACCAAACAACTGCTGTGAACACCTTTACACAATATGATGACCTTTACATTACTGCAAATTTCCATATTACTATGTAAGCTTTTTACATAACAACGTCCACTGTAAATGCACATGAATCCATAGAGCATGATTTCGCCAAAAATTAACATAGAACATATGCTTGTTAAACTTCATAATATTTTTGTGCATATATTCTGAAATTCTCTGTTTCGGTCCTATTCAGCATAATAATTATCAAAGCTTAAATCGGAAGATTTACTATTCCTACAGCAACAAATGAAAAAACTCCAAATTTGCTAAATGTAGTTTTGTAATGGGATGTTATATAACTAATTCTTTTTCTATATCCAATAATCACTTTATGTGTAAATATGTATCTGAACTTGTAATGTATGTCTAACCCCTTTTTGTGTTCAACAGTAGATTCATTATGATTTTGGAAAGATTAATGGGTTTGACATAGCAATACTAGGCCAAAGAACTTTTGATAAATTATCAAAAACAAGACTCAACATCCATCACAATCTTCCATTTACTTGTCCTACACTTCGAAATCTAAAAATATATATGTAGACAGGTCTTCATCACTCTCACCTGTCTGGCAATTTGTAATAGATCTGGAAAATATGATTGAAAAGTATGAGAAAAGAAGAAAAACTGCAAGATCATTAAATAAATATCAAGAGAAAGCTCCGATATGATGAATGATCAGACAACAATAATTTTTTTGTGACAATAGAGTAATTCTGAACCACCATAATCACACGCACAAATGTGTTTATGCACACGTATGGATGGATGCATGGTAGATTTCCTATGTCACCAAGAGCAGTAAACAAATTGAACATAATCACGTTTTAAATTTAGATGTTAATGAGGTTATGGTCCTGAAAACTCCCATGGAGAATCATAATTCATCATGTATATGGATGAATTATGTACATTAACTTGTTGCCACATAAAAGAAAAAAAAAGCCCAGTAGCCATATGATTGCTGTTAGGAGCCAAAGGTTACAAAGTTTAACGAATTTTCTGATGTGGTTGATGTAAGTGTACTGTTAGAACCACGTTAGAAACCACAGGATTAGTCTGCAGTNTGATGACCTTTACATTACTGCAAATTTCCATATTACTATGTAAGCTTTTTACATAACAACGTCCACTGTAAATGCACATGAATCCATAGAGCATGATTTCGCCAAAAATTAACATAGAACATATGCTTGTTAAACTTCATAATATTTTTGTGCATATATTCTGAAATTCTCTGTTTCGGTCCTATTCAGCATAATAATTATCAAAGCTTAAATCGGAAGATTTACTATTCCGACAGCAACAAATGAAAAAACTCCAAATTTGCTAAATGTAGTTTTGTAATGGGATGTTATATAACTAATTCTTTTTCTATATCCAATAATCACTTTATGTGTAAATATGTATCTGAACTTGTAATGTATGTCTAACCCCTTTTTGTGTTCAACAGTAGATTCATTATGATTTTGGAAAGATTAATGGGTTTGACATAGCAATACTAGGCCAAAGAACTTTTGATAAATTATCAAAAACAAGACTCAACATCCATCACAATCTTCCATTTACTTGTCCTACACTTCGAAATCTAAAAATATATATGTAGACAGGTCTTCATCACTCTCACCTGTCTGGCAATTTGTAATAGATCTGGAAAATATGATTGAAAAGTATGAGAAAAGAAGAAAAACTGCAAGATCATTAAATAAATATCAAGAGAAAGCTCCGATATGATGAATGATCAGACAACAATAATTTTTTTGTGACAATAGAGTAATTCTGAACCACCATAATCACACGCACAAATGTGTTTATGCACACGTATGGATGGATGCATGGTAGATTTCCTATGTCACCAAGAGCAGTAAACAAATTGAACATAATCACGTTTTAAATTTAGATGTTAATGAGGTTATGGTCCTGAAAACTCCCATGGAGAATCATAATTCATCATGTATATGGATGAATTATGTACATTAACTTGTTGCCACATAAAAGAAAAAAAAAGCCCAGTAGCCATATGATTGCTGTTAGGAGCCAAAGGTTACAAAGTTTAACGAATTTTCTGATGTGGTTGATGTAAGTGTACTGTTAGAACCACGTTAGAAACCACAGGATTAGTCTGCAGTACAACATGAATTAAAATCTGCCAAACGCATAAGCCTGCATGCTCAATTGGTAAAAATCATTCTAACCAATCACTTAATCGTGAATCTTTTGTAATCAGATTTCCGTACACAGTCTTATTAACTACCTGGTTTATTGTTGTTCTTGACTTAGAAATAATGGAAGACCATTTGGGCTGGCCACACAGAATACAGGTAGCCTACTTGTCGTGCACTTAAAACCATAAAGCTGTTGAAATTTAATACTTGAGCAGTTCAAACTAATTTTGTACACCTGGCTACACGCACAGAAGGAAAGAACATATTAGTAAAAATAAGTCTAAAGAGTTGTATGACCATAATTTCTGGTTCACAAATCATGAGCGAAAAACTTGTCAGAGCAATTCCACATTCATGATCATCAACTCATTGTAGTGTACAACTTCAATTTGTTAATGTTGTTAGCCGATGTTGAATCATAGAAGTTGTACAAGACCTTGTTCAAAATCATCCAGTTATCAACAAATAATAATCTATGTTTGCGTGCTTGATTGAAATTGAAAAAACACTCTCTCTATAATTAAATTACAGATGACTTCATGGTTACAAACGTAGAAGACACGCTTCGCGTCTCCGCTGATGGGTCGTTGCAAAATTATTTAACGACGACTTTGTCGACTTGCATGGTGAATCATGGTGAAGTGGTTGTAAGGCCTTTGTCAAGAAGACTGTCTAGAAACATTGAAAAAATACTAATACTAGTTACAGATTGATTCATGCTAGGCAGGCTACTTGTCAGCCACTTCACAATAAAAAACAAAACAAAGGTTAAACCAGATAGTTAAGTTTTCCTGGTATTTTTAACTTGAACACCATAATTACGAGAATTAGAATATAGATGAATAAAATTCAAGCATTGAAAAACTTAGTCCTTGTTACAGCTGAACGATTCAAGCTCGGCAGGCTACTTGTCAGGCACTTCACAATAAAAAACAACACCAAGTTTTAATCACATCGTTCTGTTTTCGCTGCTATTTTTTTACTGTAGCACAATGATTGTGAAAATTCATGCATAAAGGAATAAGATTGAAGTTGTTGGACAAAGATTGCAATAAAAGGATGGTAAATAGTAGTGAGAGTAAAGTTTTGCTAATTTTTGTTTCCCAAGATGATGACAATATTCAAATGAGTAGTCGTAGATGAAATTTTGTACGAAATGTATGTTAAAAGCCCTTTCTATTTGGATTGCTTCTTCTAGCTTCCATCAAGTTGGGTTTTAGTTGTGTTATGAGTTGTTTCGTGCAGTATGTCTTATTCACTTGCACTAACTCATACTCCTGTCATTGAAGTATATGCTCCAACATGGTAGGTTTGATTACCTCAAGTTAACTTGCTCAAGGAAGCATTTTACATTCCCGAAAGACAAGCCAATAGGACATGATGGAACAAAGTAATTAGTTTGGCCTGACAATTTTACATACAAATGCGATGGCAATATGAAGTCTACACCAAGTTGGAGAGTTAGGGCTTAGCCTTAGCAGGTGGTTAACAAGTAAATCCGTCAGTCCCATCATAAATTTGATCAGCAGCAACAGGACTAAACAGTGCACAAACTCTGTAGAATTTATACGCAACACAAACTTAATACGACACGAGCTCAACATATACAAAAGTATAAATGGATCGGATATGGATTTAATTAAACTTTGGCACGACACGACTTATACGGTCTAAGACAATCCTGGCTTTAGTCATTCATAGTACTTCCACGTGTGCTAGAAATCAAAATCCTACAATGATCAATCATCTGCATGTGTTTCTTTTTTAGGTGCTATGTTTGCTCTCATGGAACAATCATGTGAAATAGGACAAATGTTATGCTGAACAATATAAATTTTGCCATTTCTTGCTCGGGCAGTGCTTTAAAATGTGGCGCCATTACGTTTTGCTTTGTGGTTTCTGTGTACTTCGACAAAGCCTTATTGAAGGAGGACTATTACATTATAAATTCATTTCCATCTATGTGTGGTCAATGTTAGGTCTCTCACAAGGCACAAATTAATGACCTAACTTCTCACCCAGAGAGAACCTAATAAGATTCGCATCTTTACTTGTTGGAGAGAGAGACAGAGCCAGAGAGAGTCCTAATGCATGATTACGCCAAAAAGAATAGGTCAAACCTACCTAAGCAATATCAATTATCACACAGGTGCATTTTTTTTTTTTCCTTCTCCGTGTTTTTCTCTTTTTCCAGGTAATCGGGAAAGGGTGTCTAATTGAGAAATATCAGAACGATTTGCCCGAGAAAATACATCAAAAAAGTATCTCTTGTAATATCCAGTTCAAAGGAATAAATTCAATTGAAATTGGTGAGAAGATTGGTGCCATTGTGGAATACGTTGTTTTGAAACTGTATTTGGAGGTAAATAAAAACAGGAAAAAACTCAATGATAAGGTCTTGGGGTTATCAGATCAATATGGAACAGTATAGACTTGTCATGCAGGGATGGGCAGCCAGGCAGAATGTAGGAATCGGTCTGAAGCACGCTATGGAAGGCCTCACTACAAAATAGGATACGGCTATGTTTGGCAAATTTTGGATTATTGGCGTGCCAAAATTTAAATGGAGTTTAAGACAAAGGAAATTACTGAGTGGAGTTAAATAAATAAATATAAACTTAAATACTGCAAACGAAGACTCAGATATATTGGNATTGGCGTGCCAAAATTTAAATGGAGTTTAAGACAAAGGAAATTACTGAGTAGAGTTAAATAAATAAATATAAACTTAAATACTGCAAACGAAGACTCAGATATATTGGTTGTGTGTGTTTTGATCGAGGGATCTCTTCTCTCTTGCATGAGTCTTTGTATTTATAAGCGATGACTTCCGACCACTAAACTAACATTCGTGGCCTTTCTCTCTTCAANGGTTGTGTGTGTTTTGATCGAGGGATCTCTTCTCTCTTGCATGAGTCTTTGTATTTTTAAGCGATGACTTCCGACCACTAAACTAACATTCGTGGCCTTTCTCTCTTCAATGCCTAACAACATGCATCAAAATTGTTTGTAACCAATGGCTCCATGATGTCACGTCTGCCCCGCCTCTATCCCGAGATCCTTGGAGATAATTACTCATAGCCACCTCATCTAACTTGAACCTTCTCTGACTCAATTTTGGTTGTTCAATCTTACCATGTTATTCTTAAATTTCTTAATATTTGGTTGTAAACATTGCCCCATCAAAATGACCCGACGTTACGCTTTCTCTTTTGATTGTCGTTTTGGTTCTTTGAATTTGAACTGTTGTCGCCTTAATCTGCCCATTCAGTTGGCACCTCAATGTTGGCTACACCACACGACATATACAACTCAACTTCCACATGTAGACTCTCGGCCTTCTTCCATCTTTTCAAATCTACAGGAAGTGGCTGGCTTGCGATCTGATCGTATCTCCTTATCATTGCAATGATTTGGCCAACCCTTCTATATATATACCCTGTCAAACTTAATTTTGTATCATTCTAGCCAACCTTACTTCCTCCCACTATGGCGTCTTTTTCTTCTCGTATGGCTATCCTTTGAGATGTGATCGCCAAAATCCCTAAGATAGCTAACCATGACACTTTCATTCCTAACCCCGACACCTCTTCGTCGGTGATGGGCCTTGGTCTTACTTTTACTACATTCCCTTCATCTGTCCTTCACAAGCAGTATCTTGCTACCCATGAACCTCTTATGTTCAAACGAGGTGAAAGCCTACAATTACTGGAACTCTAGCAGCCCCATTCATGCATGGAATCCCCCTCTCCATAGTAGATTTCATGGGTTCCCTATGTCAAAGCGGCCAAGAGCAACCTATGGCGACGATTGGGAATTTATGACAGCATAGACCACACTACCTTCTCTATGCTTATTAACAAACATCTTTCCTATTTTACTCTTCTTTTATGAACTTTGGCGCACAACGCCTTCCATTTTTGTTGGGATATAATGGCTCCCACCTTTACGACATTTCTGTTCTCCTCGACCAACTGCGAAGGTCACAGATTACAGGTACATCTCATTCTCGCTTTTCTAGCCTAATCACTTCTTTTTCTTTGCCTCATTTTGCAAGATTACCAAAGAATATATCCTGGTAGCCGTTAACTTGGTTGCAGGAGCATCTTATGCCATGGCTCCAGTTATACTTGAGCATCTTCACCGAGGGATGTCTGAAACAATTTCCTCTAATAAGTTTAAAGGGGCGGGCCCTCACTAGGTTCTCCAGTTATGGCTTTGTGCCTATTTCCCAAAGTTTTCCACCCCTCATGCCTATAACTCTAATGTATCTTACGGATGACTTTATGCAACGGCTCCTTGCAGAGAAGATTTCTTCTTTGATTGCTTTGGATTTTTCTTTTGCTTGACTAAAACACGACCTATTTGGATGTCATTCCCTCCAAATTAAGGTCCCGAATGGTTTCTTTGCACGACACCTCCCGATTAGAGCACTTAGTGACTTGATCCAAAACATGTACACCCAAGTGCAGACAGTCAAGTTGTAGTAATAATCTAGTTAAGTTCGGAGTCGAATCCATAGGGAACTATTGTTGGTGTTTTGAAATAAGCAATGACAAAGACCATGTGATTGTAACATTTGAGATTTATAGTGATGATGTTTAGAGATTTTCCTGAGCCAAATATATAATTCTTTCCAAGAAGACTTTCTAGACAAAATATAAGATAAATTCAAATGCAAACAGTCACTCTTTAGTTTGAGGATCTGGACTTGTAGTTGATCATTTAGTTTATTATACTTGTGCTTGGTAACTCAATTAACCCTCGTGTCAACAACAAGTTAATCGGAAGATAAAGATGGATTGTGAGAATTAAGAACATGGTTCTGATGCCTTTCTAAAAGTTTACAATAATTGTCTGTGCCGAGACTCAATCTGTCTACAAACAAGCAAGTGTTTCTACAATGCATCCAATCATGGTATGAATATTCTATTTTTTAAATGAAGCACGATAATGGTGAAGATTGAAGGGTAGTCATAANGAAGATAAAGATGGATTGTGAGAATTAAGAACATGGTTCCGATGCCTTTCTAAAAGTTTACAATAATTGTCTGTGTCGAGACTCAATCTGTCTACAAACAAGCAAGTGTTTCTACAATGCATCCAACCATGGTATTAATATTCTATTTTTTAAATGAAGCACGATAATGGTGAAGATTGAAGGGTAGTCATAAAGATCTAGCCGAGGTACTTGCCTTGAACCAATGAGTTTTTCTATGCAAGAGTTATATGTGTTATAGAAAGTACTCACGATTATACAAAGTACCTTAACTTTGCTAGATGCAGTCAATAATTCAGTAAACAAGTGAAATATAAAGCATTAAGTGTAATTGAAATGCACAGATATAACTTTAAGATGATTTATACATGTCCATTACCTCTTACTAAAGTGTGAATGAGAAACTACTCATNTTTAACTTTGCTAGATGCAGTCAATAATTCAGTAAACAAGTGAAATATAAAGCATTAAGTGTAATTGAAATGCACATATATAACTTTCAGATGATTTATACATGTCCATTACCTCTTACTAAAGTGTGAATGAGAAACTACTCATTTTTCATGACTTTGGTAAAGCTAGAAAAGTGATTGACGCTCATCACTCCAAGTAGAGGAGTTACAAGGTAAAATACACTACACACAGAGCCGATCTTTGACGAAGAATGAATGAATCACATTCCACTCTTCACGGCCTTGGTAAAGCTCTAGAAAA